GGGGTGGGGGGTGTTGGGGGAGTGGAGATGGAGGGAATCAGAAGTGTTAGTACGCTCTGCCGACAAGAGCTTCTTATTCCTTTGAGGATTTCATATCTTAGCCTTCTGGTTAACGCTTAACCCCTGCACTCCCAAGGCTCCTTCACATCTCCGCAACAGCTCTCCTCTCCTCCCCTGTGCCTTCCACTTCCACTTCCACGGCCTGTTTCACCAGGTATAATTGGGCTTATCTGACTCCTGCAAAGCTGAAGATTCGGGATGTGGGACTTCAGACGAGAAGCAGTGTTGGCGGTAAGCCACATTTCACGCTGGAGGGTCACAAGTTCTGGATCTTCGGGGGTTCCATACACTACTTTCGGGTGCCTAGGGCATACTGGAAAGATCGATTGCTGAAGCTGAAGGCCTGCGGCTTCAACACCCTCACCACGTGAGTGCTGGGTCAGCCTTCCTCTACCTTCTGCCTGACTTTTCATGCTGAATTGCTTCACTTATACTTAATTTGCCCTGGGATTAAAGTCTTGGATAGGGTATTACTGGGAACAATCTAAAGGGAGTGAGTGATTTCCTCAGAAATCTGTGCACAGGGCTGGCACTGGGTCTTCAGGAGCACTTAGGTAGTAGTTTAATGGCATCTTCAAGTTATCTCAAATGCACTGCCCTTGAGTTGACTGAATCCTCACGACCCCAGGGTGGAATTGCCTGGCCGGAGTCTAAGACAGTGAGTCTTTTTAGTCTGAAGGCACACGGCCACATCTTTCTCTTCTGAAGCAGTTAGGGGTTCCCACTGCCTATTGTTTGGTTAGCAGCGACCTTTTAACCACAATGCCACCAGAGCTCCTGTTCAGAGGATATTAGGGGGTTTCAGAAAAGTTTGTGGAAGCATTCTATTATCTTAATTGCATTCATTCCACAAACTTTTTGAAGCCATGATCTCCCCACTTTGAACTGTTCAGGCCACCAGTGAACCAAGTACACTCTCCAAATTGTATGACCTCAAAGCCTTGAGGAAGACGGGTCTCATGTGTTTCCCTGGCACCAGCCAGTTATTCAGAGAACACATGTTGCCATCCACACCTCTACTGTGGGGTTAAGGAAGGCAGAGATGCTAATTTGTTACTGTGTAGTTTAATTAGAAAGGATCAATAGCCTCAGGTAGTTCCCCATTTGATTGAAATCTCTAATATATTTCCAGAGCCTCTAAATCATCTCAATAGACTTTTCATGGACAATGGATAATTTTATGGAAGGGTGAATTTCCAATTCTTCTTTTTGTTTTAAAAGTTTCAAGTCGCCAGGGCAGATTTCCTGAGAGAGATGCACCCTTGGAAATCTATTGTTTAGAAACATTAAGTTAATTACTTCCAATTCTTGAAGCCTGAAGAGAGTGGCCCCCCACCCCCTTTTCATTTCTGTTTGGAAGTGGGGAACCTATGGCTCTTATTTTTCTGAGTTATCCCAGAGTGATATTAAGAATCTGATGTGAGATCTTCAGAAAAGCAAGTCTATTTTTCACTTTCCTAGGCTAAATGGAACATGTTTATAATTCTCAGTTCAAAGCTTCCAATCTATATCCATGTAGTCTGGCTTCTCTGCTGTATGGGTTAGACAGGAGGGCCTCCCACATGACTGAGAGAAAAAAATTCCTAATTTGTTGACTGGATCACTTTTCTTTCAGTTTTCAGTCAGTTGCTTTATTTCTTAAGCTGGTTTTTAGATTTCTGAACCTATATTGTCTGTTTTTATTACCTTTAATTGTTGTGTGAAAATGTGATATGCCCTCATTTGGGAGAGCACCTTGAGTTCTCTAGAGAAGCAAAACTACGGAATCTTTTATATAAATATGAGTATAAATGTGAATATGAATATAAATGTATGAACCTTTTATATATACACCAAACAAAACAGAACACCCTGATGGCCATTTGTTTTGTTTTGTTTGATGTGAGAGCGATAGTGCATTTAGAGTTACCCTAGTTACACCAGGCCAGACTGTTAACCAAGCTTTCTATTTAGAGGTTCTGAAAAGACTTCAGAACAGTGTACGACAAGAAAGGCCTGAGTTGTGGCAGATGGGAGACTAGTTTTGCCAGCATGACAATGCACCTGGTCGTGCAGCCATCTCAGTGTTCTAACTTTTGGCAAAAAGAAGCATGCCTCTCTTGCTCCACACACCTTCCTCACCTGACTTCGCTCCATGTGACTTCTTTTTTGTTTTTGTGAATGAAGCGGGACACAAAAGGACAGCAATTTGATAATGTAGAAGAAGTGAAGAAAAAAAATACAAGGGAGGTTTTGTCAGCCATCCAACAGATGAGTTGGAAAAATGTTTTCAAGGATGGAATTTCAGATTTGACAAATATATTAAATGTAAAGGAAAGTCCTATGAAGGCGATAAAGTTGTTTTGTAAAAAATAAAATAAAATCCATAGCTTTGACAAATCCTCTGGTAAGCCAGGTTCACAAAGCGGCAGGAGCCAAAGAAACCAAGAACGGCTGGTCTGATGTCAGACTGCAGAGATACATGAATCCAAGTTGAGCAGATAGGAGGGCAGCCTGCTGAGGCTAACAAGTCCCAGGACCAGCAGGCAATAGGTAAAGCAAATGGCTCACATGAAAAAAAACCCACCACCAACAAAAAAAGTAGTGATATTGAGTCAGATGCAGCAAAAGCTAGAGTGTTCTGTAAGAACATCCATGTATATTAGAAGCAGGCCACATGCCTGAAGCAATTCCCTTTCTATTAATTGGCTGCCCATTGCAGATCTCATCATAGTGGATGACTATATTACAATTGCTAAACTACTGAGAATCATAGTCCAGCCAAGTTGACACACAATCTTAACCATCACAGAGAGGACATCTATATAGTGATTTTAAAACAATTTTTACTTATGTATATGAGGATCAAGATGTGGAGGAAACAATACTATCTAAAAATGATCATGTAATAAAAGAGCAGTATTAATACAGTGAAGTTTAGTGATATAAGGATGAATATTATAGCATAATGATTAGAAGCCCGAACTTTACAGTGAGATATACCTAGTCTTCACTCTCAGCTCCGACTCTTAACATTATATGCAGATTCCTATCTATACTACTTACTGTGTTTCAGTCATGCTCTAATCCCTGGACAATATTCATTCACTTAGTGTCCAAAGCCACTCTACATAGTGAATGGGAGCACTGGTATATCTATCCAAGCAATCTAGAATCATAGACTTTGGGGCATATTGGACTACTGCTAGATAAGAGAGAGAGACAGAGAAAGTATTTAAGGTAGTCATTCCTGTAATAGAGATAAAATTGCCATTGGAAAGTCAAATTTATTCTGAAGTAGAGTTATCCTGGGTTCTGGCTTGGGACTGAGGTTGATTTAGGAATTCAGAGGAAATAACTACGATGTAGAGCCAGTATTCTCTCTTTCCTGTTACAGCTATGTTCCGTGGAACCTCCATGAGCCAGAAAGAGGCAAATTTGACTTCTCGGGGAACCTGGATCTGGAGTAGGTGTTGATGCTACTTCTTTTGTCAGACCCAGGTGGGACACGGAGGTATGGGCATTTGGGATTCCTGAGGAACAACGAGGCATTACTGGAAGAGACAGATTCTGAAATGGCCTTGTCAGAGAGGCAGGAAGCGTCTGCACCTGGAACCACTCTCTGATGGGTACTGGGACCCTCTGCACCTGTGCTCTCGGTGCCCAGGCTCCTCCTGCACCCACAGAGGTCACCAAGACCACTGCAGGAGGTTGTCTGGGCGAATTTTGAGGCCTATTACCTGACTGGGAAAGGAGCTGCGGTTAGGGGGCAGTCTCACTATTATGCCCGCACTAGCACCCTCTCTCCTTAGACCCCCATGGGCCAGGGCAAACACTTACAACCTCACTCTGAGAGATGCCTCACTGGGTTCCTGCTCTGTTGCTGAGAGGCCAAACTTGGCTTTCTTTATCTGATTCCCCCTCTGTCCTGTATCTCATCAGCCTTCTGGTTGACAGAATGAGGCAAGGCAAGGCGCTGACAGCCCTGTCTCCATAGTATGTCACCCCTACCCACTCACCATTTTTATATGTGCATTGTATCCAGTGAATTCTCAAAGTATATTTCTTTTTGTTTGTTTTTTAAATCATTTTATTAGGGGCTCATACAACTCTCATCACAATCCATACATACATACATCAATTGTGCAAAGCGCATTTGTACATTCATTGCCCCCATCATTCTCAAAACACTTCCTCTCCACTTAAGCCCCCAGCATTAGGTCCTCATTTCCCCCCTCCCTCCCTGCTCCTTCCTCCCTCATGAGCCCTTGATAATTTATAAATTATTATTTTGTCATATCTATTTCTTTTTGAATTCTTTTAACCTAATAAAAAAGAATGTCACACTTTATGTAATCATTTGCTGTACGACATCTTTTTCGTTCCATGTCCTGTGCTGGGTATTCTCCTACCCTCTTCAGACCCCAATTCCCTCCATCCTCCTCGCAGCCTCAGCTCTGCCTGTCATCAGAGCCACTGACACTGTCTTCCTCCTTAGAGCCTTCATCTGGATGGCTGCAGAAGTTGGGCTGTGGGTGATCCTGCGTCCAGGCCCCTATATCTGCAGTGAGATTGACCTTGGGGGATTACCCAGGTGAGCAGGGCCAGGGAGGAACCAGATTTATCATTAAATTTCATAATTTTTTATAATTATAAATGATAGTTTACTAAAAATACTCTTATTCTACAAATAATATAAATATCGTTTTTAGCATTATCACATGTCTTTCACTATTCTATGGAGATAACATAGGTAATCTCTTGTAGGGCTTGCAGTCGTGCCACTAGGGACATGATTGGGGTATATTACACTCCTGTTTTATAGGCATTTGAGTTACTGGGCTGTGGCCAAGGGAGTGGGAGGGGAGAGGATGTATCAGAGTGATTATGCTCTTGTTTTCCCATCAGAAGGGGAAATATGCATACTCCTGCTCTTTTCCTGTGGTAGGAAGTGAGGAAAGAGGAGCCCTTGGAGAGTGTAGGGTTTTATCTGAGTGCAGACTCACTGTGATTTTCATTTATTTTCATGGCAGATAACATTCTCCACTGCACTGAACACCCCAGTACCTCCCTCCTATTTATTCATTTTCACGTGTTCTTCCACCTGGGATGTTGGCTCTTTGCCCAGCCAACTGAGGTTTAAGGCTAGAATCCACAAATCCTCTTGTTACCAAGGCAAGCTGGAAGGAACCACGTCTCATCCATACCTGCTTCTGTATGAGCCTGGTGATTCCCCAGAGTCAGCTGGGAGACTTTATTCTTCTCTGAGACAAGCATAGTCTCTCCTCCTAGCTGTGGAGTTAAAAGAGTATGCCCTGAAGGGGAGATGGTATTTTAGAGTAGCATTATTCATGGTATTCATAGCACAAGTAGCTCATTAGTGAAGCAGGACATATATTTACTAGCTTGTAAGCTCCTACACTACACTTGAAGACAATTCTATGTATCTATTTGTTTATTTCATTTATTTATAAACTATTGTGAATCAACTGAAGGTTTGTAGAGCAGATCCTGTTTTACATTCACCAATTCATTCTTCACTCTTTTTGGATATGTAGTACTTTGATTAAGGTACATACACTGGGCTTAATAAAAATGTGTCTAATGAACTCACAGTGGAGACGAGAACTGCCACTAAGGCATGATGTCCATGGCCTTGGCCTCTGTTTAGACTCCAAAACTGAAAACCAAACTCACTGCCATCGAGTCAATGCTGATTCGTAGTGGGGGGTTCTGAGACTGTCTGTTAACCAGAGTAGAAAGCCCAGTCTTTCTCTGTTGGAGCTATTGGTGTTTTGAACTGCCACCTCTGAGGATCACAGGCCAACATGTAACCAACTCCACGCCTGGCCAAATGGAAGTGAATTCACTTCATCATGTACATAGTGTATTCTCTTCTGAACCTGATGAGGCTGTGAGAATGGACAAAAACACTTGCCCTGTCCAGACGACTTTTGAACCCCTGAGTGATCTAAGGATGTGGGGTGAGATCAAACAGCCAACTGTTGCTGACAGCAGCTTTAAGAAGGGGCTGCTGTCATCCTGGTCCTAATCCTGACCAGGTACAATCCTGTCTTTTAGTCACAAACACTAAATTCATCCTCTTTCACCTCCAGCTGGTTGCTACAAGACCCTGACCTAAACCTGAGAACAACTGACAAGGGCTTTGTTGAGGCAGTGAACCGGTATTTTGATCACCTGATTCCAAGGATGGTCCCCCTGCAGGTAAACCAAACCACCATTTCTTTTATCTACATTCTTATTGAGTAAATTGACTGTGCAGGCTCTAGAAGAATTGAAGCTGAAGTCCATGTATTATTGAATTCTAGAACTTCAATACTTGTCTTGCCTTTGCATCTGCCAGTGTCGTAGAAGGGCTCACATCACACAGACCAGGGCAGCACAACAGTGTCTGTGTTTGCAGCACAGGGTTGCCGTTGTTCTGTTTGTATTTGAGATCGACCGTACTTTCTGATCTTCAAATCACTTACTTTAACTCTTAACATATCCTTAACTATTTATATAAACACTTGGCTAAAATAAAAATGTGCAAAGCAGTTTAGGGTGAAATAAAAGTCTCACTTTCCAAAACACTCAATTTTGTTCTTAAGATTATTAAATTTTATCACATTTTTTTGTATCTTTTCATGGATTTTCTACACACATGCAAGGAAATGATTATATTTTGATATGTTGACAAATGTGTGTATATTCTTTTTTATATAACGCAAAATATTCTGTATGACATTTTGTTCTGTCACTTAGAAACATATATTGGAAGACTTTCATGTCACTGTATGTTTTTAATAGTGGCTGAATAGCATTCTGCAGCACACTACATTATCATTCATTTAATTAGTTCCTTGTTTAGAGATTTCGGATTTTTCCAGTTGGTCCTATAATAAATAACTTGGTTTTTGTGTCATTTTGCCCTTGCCTTCATGCCACGAGGATTGTTTATATTGCTTATGGATTCCAGTGTACTTTAGTCCCAAGAATTTTAAGCATTCAGACATCATTTTTCTATTTTCTACGTAAAGTGCTCGCATCTTATGTACATCTCCACAAATGCACTTGTTATCAGTGTTAACCCATAGCACATAGATGCCACAACAAACAGAACATTATATCTGAAATCTACATGCCAACTGTTGTTTGATAGTTGTGATGCTGATTTGTTTGAAGTTTTATAACTTTCTTCTAAGCAAGAGGGGTATGTGATTATCATTTTAAAAATCTTATTTAAGACTATATCTCTTGATATAGTTGGATATGGGGTAAAACCCAAGGTTGTTAGGTAGTAGACTAAAAGATAAGCAAAGCACTACAGAGATGAACAAAGTAGGTGACTGTGTTTGTGTGGGTAGACTAGAGAAACAAATTCATAGACTCAGGTGAATAAGAAAGAGGTCTATATACAAGAGCAATTGAACATCGAGATAACATCGCAGCCCAGTCCAGATCAAGTCTACAAGTCTGATATTAGCCCATATGTCTGATACCAGTCTATAAAGTCCTCTTCAGACTCACAAAACACATGCAATGATGCCGAATGCAGGATCACAATAAGCAAGTGGGTAGAAAGTCTTTAGATCCAGTGGTGTTGTAAGCATCTCAGCGCTGGCAGGGCCTTTTCATGGATTCTCCTGCTTCAGAGGTCTGGTTGCATCAGGGTAGGTCCATGTGGCTTCTCCAGCTCAGGGCATTAACATAGTTCCATGTGTCTGGTCAGTTGCAATGCTCCTAGGGAGTGAGCAGAGAGACAAAAGTATCTCCCACCGCCAAGGAGTAAAATACAGGAATTCCCAGAATCCTTAGGGGAAGGCCATGCCCACACAGAAGCCTCATTGGCTATGACCCAATTGACAGAGTAGACTCCACCCCTTCACTCTCAATCCTCTTGAGTTCCAAATTGACACCAGATTATACAACTACCACAGTGACCTGGCACTTCCCAAACTCAAAACCTACTACACAGCCAAGGCAGTCAAACAGAATGGAGAATCCAGAAATAAATGCATCGACCAACAGACAACTATTGTTTTTTTAAATAAATAATTTTATTAGGGCCTCTTATAGCTCTTATAACAATCCATATGTCAGTTGGATTGTCATAAAAAGCCATACTCCTTCCAACCCAATGTGAACCCTTGATAAATTATAAAATAGTATTATTTTCATGTCTTCTTACACTGTTCACTGTCTCCCTTCACCCATGTTTCTGTTGTTCGCCCCCCTCAGCAAGGGGGTTGGGGTGGTTACACGTTGATCGTTGTGATCAGTTCCCCCTTTCTCCCCCTTCTTCCCCACCTTCTCCCTACACTCATGGCATTGCTACTCCCATTCTGTTTCTAAGGGTTGATCTATGCTGGATCTTATGTGTTGAGGACTGTATCTCTACCAGTGTACATGCTTCAGTCTATCTAGGTTTTTAAGGTAGAACTGGGGTCATAATAGTGTGTGTGTGTGTGTGTGTGTGTGTGTGCATGTGTAGCATTAAAGAACTAGAGAAATGTTGTGTGTTTCATCAGTGCTATGCCGCTGTCTCATCCCTTTCTATGAGGGGATGTCCAATTATCTACAGATGGGTTTCAGGTCTCCACTCCAACCCCCCTTGTTCACCTTGATAGGAGTTTTTGTTTTGGGTCTTGTGATATTTGATACCTGATCCCATAGACACCTTGTGACCACACAGGCTGGTGTACTTCTTCCATGTGGGCTTTGTTGCTTCCCTGTTAGAAGACCATTTGTTTAAGTTCAAGCTTTAAGACCCCCAGTGCTATATCAAAGGAGAAGCAATAAGCTTGAGGGTAGATTGGTGTTAATTTCAGTAAAAGGGAAGATAATGTCCCACAAGAGGGAAATGAGAAAACGGAAAAAACAAACAAACATGGAAACAGGGCAATCCATTGGGAGGTATAATAAGTTATTGAATCCAAAAATGATCTTCTAATTTATAAAGAGCTTCTTAGAGATGGGGGACTTTTTTCTGCCAATGCCTATTTGGATATTTATAACATCTGAATTGTGAATTACTCTGACTGGGACGGCACAGTGGCTGTGATGAGGAGCTCACACAACAACAATTAGGAGGGTGGTGAGGGACAGGGAGGTGCTTCAGTTTGTTGTGTAAAGCCTCATTCTGGGGTGGAATGGATTTTAAGGCCACCAGCAAAAGCAGCAAAACCTTACTAGGCTATTTAGGAACAGTTGTAATGGAATTAGAAAGGAAAGGAAAGTGAAAGAATATCTTAGGAATAGCATTTCTGCTACACATGGGTAGGTCAAAAAGTATACGACAAAATCCTAGGACCCTTTATTAAAGAAAAATATCAACACGTGAAATTGTGAGCACAAGCCCCGTCTAGGCCTACACACTGCTGAAGGCACTACTTCTATCTCTGTGATCAGTCCCTGAACAGTTTTACGTTTTTCAACTTCTACCTCAAGATGGCAGTTTTGGCATCTCTCAGGGACTCAAATGATTTTCCTTTTAAGTGTTCTCTGAGTTTGGGGACGAAAGGAAGTCTGAATGGGCAAGATCAACACTGTAGGGTGGATGCAAAAAAGTTTCCAAAAATAATTCTCACAGGATAGCCTTGCTAATCTTTAAGAATAATCAGGTATGTTGTCATGATATCAAAAGAAATTCTCTTGTTCAGATTTCCTGGCCTTTTTCTTACCAAAACAAATTCCAGTTTTCTTAAAATGCTTTCCTCATAAGACCCTGTGATCATCATGTGTCCTTTGAGAAAATCTACCAGACTACCCAGGTGGAATCTCAACAACACTGCTGCCAGGTCTTTCTGAGCAGACCTCTCCAGGACCTGAATTTGATTGGCTCAGCAGACTCCCTTGGGAGGCCCTGTTTTGATTGGCATTTTTAAAAAAGCCATCTTAATTAGACTAGGATAAATGTATTATGAATTACAGAGTCTAGTAATTGCAGAGAGATGTTTAAATACGTTTTGTTTGGAGTAAACCCGTGCATGCATGAACTAAAATCCTGGTGGTAATACTTTTTGACTCCCCTTGGACAGCTTTTGGACAGGTGAGTGACACCAGGGGTGGAAGGTTGGGAAAAGGAGACAGTCCTTATATTGAGCTCCTGAATTTGCTGTGTGGAAATGAGATGCATCTTATGAAAGAAGAACCGAAGCCACCTGTTTCTGGCCCCATTTTTGCCATATGTGTGAATCTGGAAGATGTGGCATAAGTAAGCATGCTGTTTACTATTTATGTGTGTTTACAATAAGCGAAGCAAATTTATGGACATCTTTAGAAATCACAAGCATGGGAAAACTCCAGACAAAAGCTTACAAAATTAAAATATATAAATGCAAATGAAATATATAATCATGAAATTAACATAATTCTTTAATTGAATGGATTATTTTAATCAGGCAGAAAATAATATCTGAAGAGCATATATGACTTTAGTTGCAAACTTTATTCTTCTAATCTTATTTATTTCATAAGATCAACTCTGAATTTTCTGTTGGTAAGGATTTCAGGAATCGCATCTTCCACATTGGGAGAAAATACATAATAAAAATGAGTGCTATCAATTCATTAGTTCAGAAGATCTCTATTCATTCCCAAAGGAATGGTTGACTACCTGTTGTGTGCACTGTGGGAGTCGGGCTCATACTAGTGAACAGTATCCATGATGAGTTTATTGTTCAAAGTGAAGACAAACAGGCACTTACAATAAGAATGATAAATTCCTTCGGCACAGATGCCCCTCGTGGGCATATAGGAAGGCCTTGAGTGGGAAGAGAGGTTGAAGGCAAGCTTTTCAGAGGAAGTAACTTTTACCAGTCAGCTGAAGGACTGCCGGCATTGGTAACGGTCAGGAGTATGCAACCTAGTTGAATACCAAATGACAAAAAGGAGAATGAGAAGGCAGAGCAAGTAAAATGAAGCTCCACTTGTCGGGAACATGGTGTGTAAAGTGAGAAAGAGGCCAATTATGGGGCTGTCGTGGAAAATGGGCTAAATCTTGATGGTCTCGCTATGCATAATACGGTCGGTACTGACGCTCTAGTCAGCGGGAAGCAAGAGATCACTTTATGCTGTTGAGGGATGTTATCAGATGTTCACTGTTGAGAGCTTGTTCTGCCTTGTGTATTGAGGAGGATGTATTTTAAAGGATTAATTTTAAGGGATGCTTTCCAATTGGGAAGAAGCGTTTGGGACAGTGATGAAGTGTTCAGCTGCTAACTGAAAGGTAGGCTGTTCAAACTCACGAACCACTCTGTGGGACAAAGATGCGGCAATCTTCTTTCATAAAGCTGGCAGCTCTGGAAACTATGGGACAGTTCTACCCTGTCCCCTAGGATCATTATACAATGGAATCCACCTCACAGCAACAGGCTTCCCGCCCCCCCTCGTACTGGGGGGGTTGATTACAGTAATTCAGGAGAGTGACAGTGGTGTTAGACTAGGACAGCGGCAATGGAGGAGAAGTGTGCATGTGTGAAAGCTAGTTAGCTAGTACAATGGACAGAATGTGGTACTGTGGCAGTTGATTTAAGAAGGCAGACGATCTTTTGGAGAATGGGACACTACCTTCTGAGTTGGAAGAAAAGCGAATGAGAATGTCTAATGGGTAAGATACTGGGCTTAGTTTTGGGTACATTGAGTTTGACACAGCTGTGGGAGATCCATACAGAAAAGGAGGAAGTTAGCTGCACAGGTCTGTGGTTCAGCAGAAAGCTATCTGGGTGGATAATACCGATTTGGGAAAACAACAAAATATACATGGTGAGCACAGCTTTCAATGACAGTGAGAGAATACATGATTTGAGGAGACAGAGAGACGGAAGGAGAACAATAACTTTGAGAGCTGGTCAGAACTGACCAAGGAGAGTAAACAGCGGTGGGATGACAGGTGGGAAGAAAACTAGGAGAGCGGAGCTAAAGCCCTGAAGAGAACGCCACAAGAAGGGGATGCGTAGACTTGATTGTGAAATGATACCGAAATTTTGCACTGAAAATGAGAGGGTGTGTATTTTAGTTCACCTTTTAGAAAGTTAACACAATGTTCCCAGTGTGGGTGCTGCCACATCATCATTGGCACAGACATTTGACCACAGTGGGCTGGGGAATGAGCTAGACGTGAGAAAGTAGAGGCAGGGAACATAGACGATCAATCCTTGTCTCAAGAAGTATGACACAGAAAGAAGAAACTTTCAGCTAAAGGGGGACTTTCTTGGGGGGTTATCTCTCTCTCTCTGCCTCTTCCTCAACTCGTTTTCCCTTTCTGTATGAAAGTTTGAAACACAGTTTTGTGAGGATGGAAATCTGTCAATTTGAAGGAGAAAATGAAGATACAGAAGATAATCGGTTTCTTTTTGATTGAGGTTTTTTTTATCTGTTTTACTTTGTTATTAGTTTTTTCAATTTTTTTTTTTCTGTATGTGAAATCCAGGATAGCTATAGCTATAGAGACAGTAAACTGGATTAATGATTCCTTGCGGGAAAGGAGGAGAGGCTAAGGGGAAACAGGGAGCTAGTAACAATGAGTACAAGAATGAAGAAAATGTCGTACAGTTGTTTGTGGGGTGATTGTGCAACCCTTATTGATATGATTGAACTATTGAACGGTATGATATGCAAACAATAGGCCCACAAACAAACAAACAAACAAACAAACAAACAAACAAACAAACAAACCCCAGCAGGAACAGCTCAAAGAACCAAGCCAATGAGCAGACTAGGTGGGGCAGGTAGTAAGATTCCACTCACAAAATGGAGACATATTCTGACAGAAGGGAGGACCTTCTTTTAATGATCAATTAGGTAGGTGGATAGGATGGGTCACAGGAGGATTTGCAGGTTTAAAACTTCACGTGTAAGTGGCTAATTAGTATGATAAATAGAGAGGAGATGGTAAGAATTACTTATCTATTAAGTACCAGGTAAGGTAGGATTCCTGCAGCAGTGAAAGTGCTTCAGAGTGAACTTGGCAACTATTGGAAGCAGACAATGGAGATAGTGCCCAAGCAATAAGGTAATTTGGATCAAAGAGTTCCACTCCAGGAGTGTTATTTGTAGCAGCAGATCCAAAGATCCTAGACTTTTGCCACCCGTAGTCTCACTTTTCAACCATCATCTGTTTGTGTCTCAGTACCACTGGGGAGGCCCTGTCATTGCTGTGCAGGTGGAGAATGAATATGGCTCATACAATAAAGACAAAAACTACATGCTCTCTATGAGACAGGTAAGGAAGCCTTGGCCTGCTCTGTCTACCTATTTGTATGCACCCTTCCTCCAGCTCTCTTTTCCACGATGCATTTTCTGGATCCCTGCTAGACCCTGGGGGCGTGGGAATACATAAGATCAAGGCCACTTTGCTTGTGAATTTGAAATATAGCCAGAGAGATTATACGTACTTAAAAAATTATATTAGGAGACAAAACATGATGTTAATAGATTATTCCTGTCTGTTGCTGTCTCTATAACTTGAATCTCCTTTAAAGCTGGGATTGGTGGATATATATCCATAGTAAATAATTCCTTAAGAACTTGATGATGGCTAGTAGCTTACAGATTTCTGGCATCTATCTATCTATCTATCTATCTATCTATCTATCTATCTATCTATCTATCATCTATCTTCTCTATTTCTATTTCTCTTGCTCCTCTACACTGGGAGTTCTCAGGCCAGGCAAGAACTACTGTTCAGTCTGATGTCTTCTCTGATGGATTCAGTTCCTTCTTTCTTTGACACACCAGATTCAAGAAGTGAACTTTCACACTAACCTGGAACCAGCTCTCCGGTAGTTAAGCAGATCACAGAACTCTCTGCTATATCCTGAGAGGGCCTCCCTTCCCAGCCTCCATCCTTGCCCATTGAGCTTTGTCCAAACAGAGGCTTCTGGGTGGGATGGCCTTGAAAGTACTGACAAAGACCATCAAGTGGGTCATAAAGAGACAGCACTGCAATGAGCGAGGCTGGATTACTTGGTGTGGCCTGTGCCTGTCTTGAGCCATGGCTTCTGGGGATTCCCAGGAACATTTTCTCATTTCCCTCCCCGACTTTTCTCAGGAGCAATACAACACCACCAGTCAATATTATTTAGCTAACATGATTTTTTTTTCATGGTTTAAAGAAATTGCCACTGGTCTTCACTCCTAGAACCAGATATGGACTAATAAACATATAAGAACTATAAACAGGAGCTTATCTTGCTCTCTGGCTGTCTGCTCAATAAATGCTGTTGAAAAGAAATTTCCCAATTGTCTGCAGCCCATTTCTTAAACAGTGTCCAGGTGTCAACCGGGTGTTGTAAAACTTTTCTCTGATCTTTGAACATAATGTGTTTATTCTCTAAGTCCCTGCCTTGCTTTCGTCTTGATTGAGATCTTCCTGTAGCCTGTCTCCTGCTAAATTATCTGCATGAAGAACTCTACTTAGTAGTGTGCTTTCCCCCGGACGGGGAGCATGGGTATCTGAGGCCACAGTCTCTACTTTTTGCTGTTGCCCATGGAAAGCACCCTGATGGCTAACGAGATAGAGTCTTAACTGACTGAGTTACAGAAGGTTGGGATTGTAGTGCAGACCCTGCCCATTTGAATCCTGGTTGTATTTATTTCCTAATTTTCTTGATTTTTTTTTTCCCTCGTGGGAGAAATGGAAAAAAGGGGTTCATTTTGTTCTGTTTTGTTTTTTTCCTACAGGCACTACTGAATAGAGGGATCTTTGAGCTGCTTTTGACCTCAGATAATGAGAAAGACGTGCACAAGGGCTACATAAAAGGAGGTACAGATTTAGAGTATCTTAAGAAAGAGTCAAGGCTCTTAGCCAGTTTAAATCTTGAATAGGATTGAAAGAAATTCAAGTATATCTTCGACCTCTATTTTCTGAGTACACGGAAATGGATCCCAAGATTTAATATTATAATAGACACAAACTCAAGGTCAAATCTAAGAATTCATCCACTAATCCATCACTTTTGTCTTGAACAGATACCAGCACTGGTACTGAACAGAGCTCTCTGTCCTCATAATCTCCTGTGGTTCATTTTTCTGTTTCATAATTTCCCTGTGGCCCAGAATCCATATTGCCGCTGGGCATAGGTTAGGACGAGGGTGTTATCCATCAACCTATAAAGACCACTTAAGGAATCAAAAAATTGAAATTGCATTGGCAGAGGCCCCAGTTCTGAAATCCTGTAGCCTGAGACACAGAGTGGACATGTGGTAGATCCCGGAGAATGAAGTCATGGGACAATTCATAATGGAACAGTTAAGCGGTGCTGTTGGGATCACAAGCAGGTGATGGGTCCAAGAATCTTTCAGTTAATCTTTAGCTCAGTTTCTGTCTACTACTGTCCCCTCCTCCTTTGTGCTGGTTCTCCTCTACATTATTTAAGATATTTTAAGAGTGGAACCACGTGATAGTAGAAAGTATGCTGGGCGTGGGGTCAGGCAGCTTATATAAATTCCTAGTTCTGAACAAGTTTGGCCCCATGGCTTAGTCCACATTTCTGGGTGGTATAGGTACCTCTTGCCCTGGTTACCTCCTGGGGTGCTTGCTGGCATCACATGATGGGATGTCCATGAAAAGCCCTGTACTCTGCACCCTGAGGTGCACCCACTACCTATGCTGCTAAGCACACTTTCCCTTGGGCTAGGTTCCTCCCCCTTTCTTGTTGACATAGTTAATACTGCTTCTTCTCTCGACAGTGTTGGCCACCATCAATATGAAGGCACTCAGCAATGGTTCTTTTAGACTGCTTAAAAAAGTGCAGGTAAGACATCTTAGAAATGAAGAAATTTTATTCTTTCACCTGCCATAACTTCCTCAGTGACAGACTGGTCTCAGCAGTGTCTCAAAGCAATTGCAGGAGTTGATGAGTGTGGGTATGGAGCGTGGAGGGGAGAGGACCTTCCTAGTGGCCACCTCAATCGGATGCTTTTTCTGGCCTGGGTCTGGCTAAGGAAGAGTGGGAAAACCTCCATGTGACAGCAC